AATCAATTAAAAAAAATGCTATCTTCGATATTTTAACTCTTCCAAAATAACGCCAATAGTACACATTCGCACAAGCGAATGTGTACGAAGGCACCCTATTAACGGTGGCGAGACAAAAAAGAAAAAGAAAAAACGCCTGCTCCATGCAAAATCAACCCGCAAAAGCCTGCCGGGTAAACGCGGGCGCAGACAACTGCAGGTCTTCCACGCGCGCGGACGGGTCTCCTCACTCTCTCTCTCTCTCTCATTCTTTCTCTGCGTGTTTTTGTTTTTATTTATTTCCCCCTTCGTTACCTCTCTTCGTCGACCCTCCTTTTCCCCGGGTTCGTGGTATGTTCCGTTTCTCCTTACGATGGACCGCAGAGGACCCTACGAGCTATCGGAGCCAATCCAATGCCGCGTGAGCGTCACGTCAGCTTTAGGACAGACACAACGAAGCACGAGGCGCGTGGCACGTTCATATGCGCTGGATTGGCTGCTACGACTTGTAGCTCCAGTTCCGGTCCATCGTAAGGTGCGTGCAACGGCCAAGAAACTCGCTCCGCGAATGGGCACGTTGTTTGAAGCGAGGATTGGTCGGGCAACCACGCGCAGTACTCTCGGTTTGAAGATGCACTGCCGTTGTTCGTGGGAAAGAACGTCGTCCGTCGTCACGTACGGCGACGCGGGGCTTGCGTCCTCGCCGTCGCAATGTTTAATCTTCGTCTGGCTCTTGCAGAGCATAACCAACGTGTATGCTCTCAAAATAAACACCCAACTGTGTGGACAAAACAATCTAGACAAAGCGGTTCTATATTTCGATCTGCTCCCCAATAGTCCAATTCACGAGACGCTCTCACTGTTCAGTAGTTATTTCTAAGCCAGTTCATTCATGCTCTAACGAGTCGTAAAAATCCATCAGCCTCGCTCTTCCAAACGATAAAACGAATTCCGAGTAGGATAAATTTAAACTCGTTTCAAAGTACACTACCAAGATAAAGCCGCCCATATTAATTGTCTCTAGAACAGCAGTTGCAACATGACGAATCACGGAATTAACTCGAGATATTCAGCACATCTTAGTTCAGCGGTTCTCAAACCGTGGTCCGCGGCGACGGTTGAAGGGGTCCCGGCTGATTCGAGGATCACCCTGTATATGTGTTCATGTGAGTAAAAACAGCGGCGCACAGACACAACTAAAGGGAAGAAAATTAAAACAAATGCAAATTTAATAATTCGAGCAAAATAAGCGAAACTGCACTGAACGTACGGTTGAATGCACTGACCGTGGATTCAAATAAACACTTGTCAACTACAAACACATGGGACACGAGGCGACAAAGACAATCACAAGACATTACTTCAAAATCCGTCTTTACAAGTGGACCGGCGTGGAGAGTTCGCCAGTAGCACTGTCAATATATAATAAATATTTTTTTAATTACACAATATATTTCTCGCGATACTGTATTACATAAATGGCATTGATAAAACACTATCAAATGATCTGTGCCGCGAGAGGCGCTCCGGAATATTATTTCTCACTATAAACATTGTGTTTGCAATTAACACGCTATTTATTTTGTACGATGTGTTAGCGAGTGATTGCTTTATTCAACTATGCAGAAATAGCGGTACTGCGATTCCCGTGGCCAAACGAGCCAATTATGTTTTGGCCATAAAAAAACTGAAAACCTAGATACTTAAAATCCCTTTGGGTTTTAGCAATACGTCCAAATTTATTTACCGTCTAATGACTTTAAATATATAATTGCAACACGAGCTATAAACCCGCTCGTGGGAAACTTGATTAGCAGATTTTAGTTATTTACCCACCCAGCTTATCGCTACAATGATCTCCCATGTAGTGTTCGCCGAGCCCCCTAAAGGCACAGTGAATACGGCACTAAGGTAAATGCCTCCCCCTCTTTTAAAAGAAAAACACGTTCCAGTTAAGTAAAAACAACACTGTATATTAGGTACTTTAAAAATAAATACATAATCGAATACATATATGACAAACTACCGGCATATACCTTCGTTACTTCATTACAACTAGCCACCAGCACTGCACAACAAAGTATTTTTATACAATTTTTCACGACACTGATTGTTTCTTATAGTATTTCATAGACAATTTGTAATGATTGGCGACCGGGCAGTTTTTCATGACTTGAGAACATATCTTCCAATAGTCCTGATCCCCACACGTTCTGCTCCTCGGAAGACTTCGTAGAAGGTTGAGCACTTTCGTGTAGTTCGTTCCACACTGCAGCAGTATCGTTCCATCTAAAAAATAAAAACAGAGAAAAACTCCATGAACGGTTATAGGGTCTAGTCACGTGCTGAGTCACGTGACTAGACTGAGTCACGTGCTGAGTCATCGCCCACAAACATGACCACCAAACGATAAAGCAGAACTGATTCGGGAGAGTTGTGAAAATTGAAAGACAAAGCAAACTCGCCAATGGGATAACTGCTTTTGCCTTCGGTGGCCATACTTCTGTGTTGTGACTCGGCATCAAAAGGCAGTCTGACGTCATATAAATACTTGTAACCTCCTTGCCTACTAGCCCCGAGAACGAACGCAAGCGTCGCTGTTGTTCGAGGCGTTCGAGATCGTTTCATACGTCACAAGGAAAGGGTACAGAGAGTTTAATCGCAAAATATTACAATCGCACGAATAGAAATATAAAAAAATGGCGCTAAACATAAAGCAAAAAGTTACGGTGAAGTTATCAGCGGCCAATCACCAACCGTCCGCAACGTGAGTACTAAAGGTGTCGCGAACCAGCCGACGTTCCAGTTCGACCAGGTTCGAGCTTCTCGAACCTTTCCCGCAAGTCCGACAACGTGCGTACTTGGGCACACGTACGCCCAAGTATGCATGCGCCCACTCGAACACGCACGAATTAGGCACTCATACGCATGCGCGAACACAGATACGCGGATGCACGCGCAGGCACGGATGCAAATTCACGTACACACGCACAAGCACACCCGCGCACACGTACGCACGAATTACACACGCACGTGCACGCGCGCACTCGCACAGGCACGCGCACTTATGAGCAGGCAAACGCCCACGCGTGCAAACACGCACGCAGATGCACGTATAACACGCACACAGATACGCGGGTATATATACTCACGCGTAAACATGAAAACACGCATGTGCACGGGGGGCACGCACATAAGCATCCTCGCTCATGCAGGCGCACACGCAAGCAGACACGGACGCGCAATTACGTTCGCAAGCGCGAGCACGCACATAATAGAAAAACTAGACGAAACGTCACAAGGTGTATCGATGAAACGAACGCCGGCTATTTCCGATGGAACGATTTATCCTTGAAAAAGTGCAGCTTCGAAGAAACGAGCTGTCTAAAACGTCGTCTGGCGAACTGACTGCATGGCACCGCGTATATTCGGAATGTATAGTACATAAAACAGCGGTCACTAAAACAGGCACACAAAAAGCATACCTGTTTCCAGTGCTTCGTGAGAAATCGTCACCCCAGTTGCCGAAACAAATCTTGCATTCACAGAAATACACATACAACAGAGAGGGATTCTAACCACGGTCATCTCACCATAAAAATAAACTACGCATTGCCAAATGCTCAGAGTCCGCCCAAATGTAGCCTAGCGACAGAGACTAATGTATTTTCGTGGCGAGAAAAACATGCTTCGGATTTCTTTCGAACGCACTCTAAAGAAATGTATATTATATCTACGATCAAAATTCGCGCCCCTTTTAGAGGAAGAAATGTAGTACTTACCGTACCAGAAGGAGCGTCGTTCTTGTGCCTGTACGATCGCTTTGATCACGCACAGTCTGCAACGACGGTAACAAGCGGATAGCCTTCGGCATCGATCTCGCCAGATTCCTTCGCGCGCCTCGCTTCTTCCACTCCGGCCTGTTGCATGGCTTCCCAAGCGGCATCTTCAACACCCCGAGTCAATTCGTTCTCGCAGCGCGACGACACAATGACTCAACCTCACCTGAAACCTCACCATCCGTAGTTTCAGCAGAGGGTCGCTTACGTGCAAACTCTATTTGCGACTTCGAGACCTTTCGCTTGCCATATTTATACCTCTTTGGACCCATAGCTGCGAGGACGGCCTTTCTCGTTATGAAAACACGCACAGCTATCCGCCCGACATCCCACCCCGAGAAACAAAACCACTCTGTCTGGACGGGTCTTGCCGTCTCTGGACCACCACAAGCGCGTTACTGAAGAGCGCATGCGCGCGGAGTAATACAAAATCAGAGCAGCGTGCGTGGCGAAATGGTGGCGCCCTCACGCGGCGCTCGTCGAACTAGTCTTGACCGTCCAAACGAGGAAAACAAGCCACAACACCTTGGTTGAGTTTTTTCGATGTAGTTAAAGAACGGATGTACTTACAGCTATAATTTTAATATAATTGAATTCCGTGTTAAATTCCGCAGATATCCCACCAGACACATTTGTAGTTAAAAATTCACAGGTTTTTAAAAACGCGTTCTAACGTAAACATGTCAAAACAGCCAATTCCGACCGATTTCACGATTTAATATAAAATATAATAAATTTTTTTATGAAAAATATGCTCGGTGGGATAGTTGGACGAAAAATCAATCTTTTTATAGCAAAAAAGTTTGAAAAAATCGGTGTAACGGTTATTAAATGAGAATTTTCGTAAAATGGCAGAAAATCGCGTGTATTCTCTATGGGGCTTGGAGGAGCGCTCCCTCTTAAAACTGGGCTCCTTAAAACCTCTTACAACGAGAGGACACGCTGGCGCCATCTATTGGGTAGCGGTGTAAACTTGGCAGTCTGGCATATTTTCTATTTCTCTCGCGCATTATCCTTTCTTTCTTGGCTCGAAAAACTTTTGTCAAAGTTATAAACGAGCCTTTCCTAAAGGTGTTACGCACATTTGACCTCGGAAATCCTGTAAAACCTTCGCTCTTGTGAAAGGCAGTTCCAGGGTCACCGTATAGATGGCGCCAGCGTGCCAGTGTGTTCTCTCGTCCTAAGAAATTTTAAGAGGTTTTAACAAGTCTCGTCTCTCTCGGTCGTACTCGGTTGCAAGAGATCCTCTGAGCTGTTGTTCTGTCCCAACAATTTCAAGCCAACATCCAAATACAGTCAAATCTTTTTATTGCAAATGCCATTATAGAAAACTTTTTTAAATTTAGAAACATTTTAAAAATCCTTTTCCAAATGTCTATTAGTTTCAATGCAAAAATATTTCAGTACTACGAATTTCAAAATACAAAATAATTCAGGATAACGCACATAATTTAAATGCTCTTGTATGTAAACAACTCCTCAGTTTTGCAAATTTGTATATAAAAGCAAAACAAAAAACAACAAAAAAAAACCTTTGAAAGCAATTGTGGTTACCAAAAATACTTTGAAGTTACAGCAACACGCGCATTTTGGCCTCTTGCCGGCTCCCCAGATGCCCAACCATGTACCAACCATCATCATCATCAAAGATTGACTCGGGGAAACAAATGCGCACTAGGCCGAACCGCCTAACTTTGCGTTCCTCTCCTTCAGGCGGGCTGTTCCGCATCAGTAGGTTGCACATGTTCCTTGGAAGGTGTGACAATGTGACCGAGGCTGTCCACAGGAAGGTGGACGACATTGAATCGCTTGTCTTGCGGCGTTTGTGCTGCGCTAACCAGAAGAAGATTGAGGATTTTTTCATTAACTGTGCTGTGTGTGCTGTGTTCAATCGCGTGAGCGGTGCGAGCATCACCATCAACGTCGGGTCGTTCTTCCTGTAGCGTTTGTGCTGGACCTTTTCTTTTAATAAATATGTAATGTTGAATCAGATCTAGCATTTTATCTATTATTTTTTTTTTCGATGAAACCAAGCGTTTTGATATTCCTATTGCAAAGGTATGTTATTTTTGCTCAGATTTAATTACAATTTACGAGTTTTTCACAATAACAATATTTCAGAATAACGAACGATTTTCACGAGTGTGATGAAATGCGTTATATCGAGATTTGACTGTACTCACCTATTGTTTGTTTTATCCCACAATATAAAAGCCGCAATCTACTGCCGTACAATATTAAAGGGCCAAAGTATGCACACACACGAGATAAATCTGTCACCTTTTCTCTCCATATTCTTTGTTACATTAGTATTCTTGAAATGTACCAACCACCCCATCTACCTATTGCCTTACTCCTCTGTTGTGGTGTCTGGTAGCTTCTTGCTGCCATTTTTCTGCACCACTTCTTACTGTTCAGATATCTTTAGTTTTATCAACGGGCTGCACCTGGGATATCTTCTCTAGGAGGAGGTAAGGTCGTCAGACTTATGTCTTTTCATTATTTATCTTTCACAATAAAATTTCGCAGTTCCTTCGAGCAACTTGAAATTACACTCCTGTACATAATTTGGATGCGGTACGGGGGCCAAGGTTTTTGGCAAAAGAAGATCCTGCTTTTTTGTTCAATACGTTGCTTTGTTGTAATTCCATCACAATGAAGACAATTGAATTTCTCATGTTCAATGGTGAAATTTTTCTTCCCAGACGAAGATCGACGACGGCACAGCTCAGCTGGAGGAATATCGGGACCTACAAGAATTGCATGGTCCAAGCTCACTAATTGTATCTCCGAGGAAAAGTGCATGTTGTGACTGAGCCGTTCAGTTTTTAAACTGCCGTTGTTGACTTGTTGACTGTTGAAAGTGGTGCTGGATGCATTTTGTGGGGTGTGAGTGATGCTAGAGCCACTAAACCTTTCCACTGTACTGAAACAGCCAAGCTTCGATTTAGAACTGCATCACAGTACTGCATTCGATCTCGAATGGCGAGGGGAGTATCAGCCTCGATCAGATCGAGGCTGATTCTTTACTGACCTATCGGCTGGCATTCTTCAGGCTATCACCTACGATCCCACCATCTGTTTTAAGCCCTTTAAATTCAGTTTGTTTATCTTTTAGGCTTCCTCCTGGCATCAAAAGCCAGGAAGCTGGATTGGCTTGATTCTTTAGTTCTAGCAGATGCTATGAAATCCAGTACTCTGGACAGATTGAGCAACTTTAGTCAATGGTTTGAGCTTTTGGCTTCCATTGAGTACCACGTGTTTAAGCAGCTGCTCGTGGTCAAAGCTACATGATGATGTGACAGGTTTGTTTGTATAGGAAGAATGTTCTTGATTTTCCTGTTGCTATTGTTCCGATTGTTCCGTCCCTGCTTTGGTCTCTTGCTCAGATTCCTTGCATTGTCTCATCAGTGGCCTGTTGTTTTCATTGTGATGCTACACAGACCGTTTCAATATCCTCTGGAAGCATGAACTGCAGTCACTTCTGTGTACTTTAAGCAAAGTGGGGTTTTGTGTTTATGCAGGTGCTCCAGGCTAAATATAAATGATGTCTAAAAAGAAAGTTTGGAGCATGAAATTGGCAGAAAAAATAAATCACGAGACATTCGACATACTAGTTTCTCTTGAACATGTATTGGTCATAATGCCGCACCAAACTTCTAAGCCTTAAAGGGGCACTGACACCCCAAAGGTCGTTTTTTTTGTTGTCTAAAACAATGCTAGCTGTAGTCATAAACACGCAATAAAATACTGCAATGCAAAAACAGATGACCCCATGCGTGCACGCGCCTTTTTATTTCTGACATTTTTTTAGAAGCTTCGTAAGCAATATTTTTATAATATTTAATAACGGCATTCATACGCACTACAGCCCTTCTTGAAATACTGAAAATCGGAGTCCGGAAGTGATGTCGCCTCCTGACTTTTTATCCTCCTTCGGAAAACATGGCGGTGCTCGGCACATGTAGCACTGAGGATGATCGGGGAATCGGACAATGTTCTCTTTTTGGTGCCCGACGACCTCTCAGACTTTGAAAAAGGAATCGTCAAAATGGTCCAAACAACTGGGTTTGGAGTTTGTGCACCTTAGTTTCAGTTGTGACTCCACCGGGACAACCTCTCACGCAGAACTGGTCCGACGTGGCCTCTCACGTCGCTCGCAAAAGTCCGCTGTACATTCTTTTCGACCTCACACTGGTTCAAAGAATTTGAGATCGCTGAAAGGGTTCTAAAAGGAACTTCAAACTCAAAAGTGAACATGCACGGAGAAGCGCAGTTGATCGCAGGATATGGGTGAGCGAGACACTTCCGGTCGGGGCGGTTCGGAGGCGTGAGAGAAGCTCGAGTTGTAGTACGACTCAAAAACAAAATTGGGCTGTTTGTATGTCCATACAGCCTAGAACTTTGTCTGCCTCAACGGGCGACGAGTCTCCCAGCTGTAGATGAGAAATTTAGCCAGTGCAGTACAACCGCTAGCCTGGGGTCCTTAACATGCAACACGCAGTAGTTGTACACGACCGCACGCCGGTACGATGCTCATCCAGATCGAAACGAGCAGGGGTGGGAATTGAACCCAAAATCCTTGGGTTCTGCAGCGCGAGCTTTCGCTCCCCGTGCTCCGAGCTGGTGTGAGCTAGACGACTCATTTGTTGACGTCACTGCACTGGTGCAGATAGCGTGGTAACTTCAAATTCGCCTTTTGGAAATTGTTTTTTTTTTTTACTTCACAAATACCGAGTTCCCAAGCTTAGAAATTTGAGGGTAATGTCCATACATTGTTTTGCATCGTTTCAGATAATAAAACAAAAGGACTTTGACCTGTCAGTGCCCCTTTAAAAATACTCACACCCCTTCAATTTTTTTCTCCTTTTGCCAGCCGATTTAATATGTCGGAAGATCACCCAATCAATATTTTGCTACAGCGTCACATATATTTTTAATAACTGCATTTTCTTTTGTTTTTTGTTTTTCTGGTGTGAAGCAGACAAAAATGCGCAAACATCAAGCACTTCCAGCTTGATGCTTGCACGTTTTTTAAGCTCTCACCAATTTGTGTTCATAACACGAGCAATGTCTTCAGCCACGAGAAGGACGATGGCTCGGCGTCCTTTTCGTGCAAATCGGTTTGGTGGTCGGGCGTGTCATACGGAATGAATCCTAATTGTTTTGATCGGTGAACCATTTCTCTTTTGAAGCTAGACAGATTCGCCGGTACCGTTAACAACAGTTCTGGAGTAGAGATCCCATGCCCGTCGTCCGCCACCATCGCTTTGTCCGCTTCGATCAGCCATCTAGCCCGCGATACGACGCCATGTTGAAAATGCTCAGAGCGTCCGGTTCTCTGCGCACATTTTTTTTTTTTTTCAGTTAACATAGTTGCAGTTTCTTAGGAGCCACAAAATATGGGTATCATATTTTTTCTATTTTTAATATTGAGTGTGTACTTTCGGTGACCCGTGACCTCGATTATATTGGTGTGTCTAAACCATAGAAAATGGCCCGTGACCACAGAGAAAAGAGTGAGCGTGACTCAAACTGGCCTGTTCTTGATCGGCGGTTTTTGGGCAAAAACAAAATGAATTACGAGCTGCAAATTGTATTTTGGGTAGTTGGGCTCTCACGTGTCATGTACAAGTAAAAACCTTGGCGAGCATAAATGCCCTGTCAATGTCGCTTTACAGGGCAACGCCGGTCCATGTTTGATATTTAGAAAACTATGCAGCCTTCTTCAGTATGATGTAGGAAGACAACATGTCAAATATTACGATTTACTTCTGTCTATATATTTAATAATTTGGCCAGCAAACATTCAAACGAGCCAAGTCACACTCTAGCGTGCGACGTATCAGCTAACATTGAGCCTGTAGGTCTGAGTGATGTCTACGTCATTCCCACATTTTTGTTAGTTTTTACTTCTTAAGACAAAATTGAACGATGACGTCAAGAATTTCTCCTCTCGGTGTTGGCTTAACGGTGTCCACGTGATCACCGTAACACGGATGCGCTAGTTTACGCTGCCCTGCATGTTTCTCGGAGCTGGGAGCGGTCTGTTTTGTCTCGCCTCTGTTGCAGGATGAGAACAATGTTTTGTTTACGATACAAAGGCAAGCCACACCTCCGACGCCTAGCTGCGATGCCTGACCAAAGATTCATAGGCTCACAATGTTGCATAGCTGCCTGCTCGAACGACCAGTTGACCAGCTTCGGAGTTGTCTTTCACAAGTTTTCACGCGACGGTGCGCATCTGGATGTATAGACGGGCATCCGGTGCCGGTGGAACTGCGGGAAGCCGTGGTCGTTAAATCGCAGGACAATGATCTGTTCTGATTGCTTATGTTCATGACACTACCTAATTTGCGATGACCAGCTATCTAGAGAAACACGCATGAAAATATTAGTTCTGCTAGGAAACCAAACAAATGTGCATTAGAGCTTACTTATAGCGGCATGGATAATTTCTGCTGACTATTTCGCCATTGACAACAAACATGTAGTCTGCGGTACAGCTTCATAAAGGTACACAATTCAGGATACTACAGCAGAAGACGCATGCACGGTCAAACGACCACCGCGTCGGTCGCACTATGTTCCTGGCGTTTCCCAGTGTACAAGTACATGTGTGTCATGCCTGTAGAAAGAAGGTGTGAATACTCGACCATTTCCGGAAAAAATAAATGTAAATTTGGGTGTTTATGTGCGAGACCTCCGAATGTCATACCTGGGGATCTTGTGACGTGCAATCGAGACCTCGGTTACGCAGCGCCTCCGTGGCAGTAAGCCCGCGTCAAATTGCGGGCACCCCGATCGAGATTACAACCCGCCCACTGGGGATGCGCAGGCTGGCCTATATTCCGAAACAACATTTTGTGGCATTTCGAAAAAAAAAAAAAAAATAGGAGTGCGAGTACGCAGCTGTAATTGGTGCCCCCGCAAGGGCATGAGCGCGCACAGCCGGCTTCATTGCCAAAAAATTATGACCACGTAATATGGAAGGTCCCTTCCTGTTGAAAGCTTGGCTGTCACCAAACTTTTAGTGACGCACCATTGTGGCGTCTAAGAAGAACAATAATTTGGCACCTCGCACAGCAGAGCTTCGTAAGCTTTGCGGTGGTCGTTACTAAGCTCTACTGCGTCAACGTAATCGTGAGGACGAGCACTGCGCGGTCGACTCTGTTACAGTTCGTTTGTTTCAGTGGAAATTGGGGCCGTGGCACGCTCGTACATGTGTTGTTTATTATACCTTAGCTTCTACAAAGCCTACGAAATAGGCTTTTGAGCAAATGTACTTTTTTTTTGGAAAAGAAGCGCAAGCTGGGGTTGCAGTGGTGCAGACGTCGTGCAGGCCAGCAGTACGAGACAATCCCAAGTTAAGTCAAAAGTAGAGAAATGCCCCCAAGAATACCCAAAAGAGCTGTTGGCACCAAATCGGCTCTCCGTCCTGTCCAGTAGTGTCTTTTGGTTTTGGCAAGGGGCTTTGGTCATCGTTGAAGGCGTGTCCCTTCAAGCCGGTAGCCTCCCCCGACTTTGCTTCAGGTGGCATCATGCTGCCTCCAGAAGCTTCCTACATTAATGGTTGTAGCGCACTACACTGGCAAAAAGTGCGGAGCAGACGACACTTGCTATTTTCTCAACGTTCGCCTGCCGTTGTGTAGAGGATCACGTGACCTTTTGGACCACGTGGTTCTTCGTGACGTGGATGTAGCTAACGGCACAAGACCAATGTTGTTTGTCACAACCAAGGTTTTGGTTTCGGTATCTGCTGATGTTTAAACTAAGAGTTGACATATTCCACATTTCGCAAATCTAAGGACGTAGGGCTTTTTGGTAGTGCTTTGGAAAACGGAATCACATGTAAGCTCAAAATTTTTGGAATGGAGCGGAGTTACCGTTTAGGGACAATGACAGGATATTTATGCTAGCCAGGTTTTTATTTTAACACAACTTATACGTGCCTTGCACCTGACGTCATCCCATCGGCTCTCCAGCCACGACCAGAGAAGAGGGGAAGGAGGAACTCGCTTCTCACCGGGACTCTTGTGTGTCCCCGACTTGCCCAGACGTCGCTGCTCTCCGTCTAGAAAATTAACCTGTCTCTCAAAATTCGTGCAAAAGCAGATTTTCACTCTCTTCCCTGGTCTTGCGAATGGGATAATGTGACATCAGTGCAAGGCATGTATAAGAGTCCAACTACGCAGAACATAATTTGCGGCTCAAAAGTAGTTTTCGTTCCGTCCGAAAACGGCCGGTCGAGAATTGGCCGGTTCCAGTCGCACTCAATCTTTTTTTACTTGGTCACTGGCGTTCAAACTATGTGTACCAATCTGTTTAAAGTCGTGGGTCATCTGAGGCACAAATTCAATATTAGGGATAGAAAATATTACGAACCTCATTTTTGTGGCCTCCAAAAAACTGCAAATACGTTGATTATAAACAAAAAACAAGAAATGTTGCAGAGATCACAGGAAGTTAACGCAGTAAGTACAGGTACACGTCATTCTCAAAATGGCGACGCACTGCGGGATGGACGACACGATGGCGGTGCACGGCAGATCAATGTTGTGACGGATGTGGGGCCGCTGCTTCAAAACTGTCGTTCGTGGTACCGGCTTATCGACCTTCAAGCGCAGAACATCGAGTGGAAGAGATATATGTGCAAAACAGTTGCACGGCAAACAGCGCACACATTCATCGTCATCATTGTCTGCTTCACACGCTGAAGATGCGCATAAACAAATTGTGGTCGAGTGCAGCCTTCTGATTTCCGATCATGAGTTTTCGTGCTCTTGTTTCAGTTTCAGGCAGGTGAGTTTTTTCTGGCTTTATTGAAAATATATGTGGCACTGCAACAAAATATTGATAGGGCTGTCTTCTGACACCATAATAAATCATCTGGCAAATAAAATATTTTTTTTTGGTGGGGGGCTGTGTTTCTTAAAAGGATGCTGAACCGATATTAAAATTTCGCAAAATAAGGCCGCAGAAGCATTGAATGGGATGCTACGAACTCTACGACATCACTCTTACATCAATATCTCAAATGATGACCGTATTTTTTGGAAAAGGAGGGTGCAATCAAGCGAGGATGATGTCAGAATCCTCCTGGAACAGTTGAGAATCAGGGAAAGAGGCCTTACTTTTCTCCTCCTCGCTTCGGTTCACCTGCTTGAAGGGATGAAGCAAAAAGAAAAGAGAGGGAATGGGATTCATGACGTGACATGTCTCGTCGGCCGTGTTCGTTCGCATGCTTCTTTTCCCAACATACGGCCCACCATTAGAGATATCGCCGTATGAGTGATGTTTTTGGGTTTTGGAGCATCCTGCGTTATCACTCCAGCCTTGTTTTGTGAGCTCCAAGTTTTGGTTCAGCATCTTTTTAACAATCCTTGTGTGGCAGGGTAAAGAAGAAGAAAAAAGGTGGTCCGAGCTGGATAAAAATTTTAATTAAATTTCTGTATGGGGTTACATTACACAAGTTTGATACATAATGCAAATTGGTAAATCTTTCTCTATTTAATATTGTTTACAGATTTGCTTTATATGTAGTAAAACTAATGTATAAAGTAAAACAGGTGGGCTGAGTTAGATATTTACTTCAGGCTAGACAAGTATGAGAATGAGCAATCCTGAAACAAAAATTTAATTGAACAAAAACACAAAACGGTTAGTCATGGTTGCTCCCCGTAGTACATATCTTGCCTCTGTATAACTATAGTCAGTTACAGGATAAGAAGGTAGCGGCAAATGCCCCTCAAAGGGAATAAGATATCCCTCCGCCTCCACATCCAATAGCGTCCCACCGTTTCCGTGACGTCGCGGCGAACGCGCGAGGAAGGGCTTGCCTTTCTGTACATATTTGCTTTATCTTTCGACTTTGACTTAGCATTGTGGAAGGCACGAGAGGGAGATTAGAGTTCTCCCCCACCGACGGAAACAAATAGACTTTCGGGGATTAGCTTCCCCCCGATGGATACAAAGGCTGCTTTCAGGGGCTCGGTTCCCTCTCTGATAAATGCAAAGGTCGCTTTCTTAAAAAGTGGGATCGGCGACAAGTTGGAATCCATTGAAGCGGAACAAGGAGTGTTTCCAGTGAACTCTTCTTTCGACTGCGGAGAGATTTGAAACAGGCGCATCACGCTTGTGGATGGAGCTTCTCCTACCTTCTTGACTTGTAACCGACTATAGGGTTCCAAGTAAATGAGCACAAAGACACTGCGCCAACTGACGGATGCTGTCTAAGATGCATCTCGGACTGGTCTGTTTAGTTCGTTTCACTTGTGGTCTCTCGATTTTTACTGGATGATGTGCTCCTGTCATGCTGTTGCGTGCCGTTATCCTGGCAGTGGAGGTGTACATGGTAAATGGCTTGTTTTACTGCAGCCTGTTCTGCAGCCAGACAGTTAGTTCATGGGAGCTTCAGAAGTCATGAGTTGGAACGCTGCGACGATGTAAATGCTTGCATTTGCCTGTACCTTTTATTGGAACCTATTTGACCGAGGACCTGGATCGTGACATCGGACAGCATGACAGACCGGCTCGCGTGACATTATTGTTGCCTCTTCAGGACCACTTTTGATGCACGGGTTGTATAGGACACTTAACGCACCAGACAAAGATGCATTTCAGGCAGCATTTTCTAACAGCAGCAGTAGCAAAAAGAGCAGTTCTAATGCGCGACATTTGCATGCTTTTGCCGACAACAGAACCAGCAGGGACGTCCAGTCATCCAGCAGGCGATATCGTCAACCGGCACGACCCAAGCAGTCCTTTCCTCACCTGGAACCCCACTGGCGAGTTCTGCAGGACGGCGACTGCCCAGGCGAAAGAGGGCAAGCGCCGGTGTCGCTTCTGCCCCTACACCACCGACTACTCGGCGAGCATTATCGTTCACGAAAGGACGCACACGGGTGAGAAGCCATACCCCTGCCGGTTCTGCGGGAAGGCGTTTGCGCAAAGCAGCGACCTGACGGCCCACGAGAGGATTCACACGGATGAGAGGCCCTACGAGTGCGACGTCTGCGGGAAAGGGTTCCGGACCTCGACTCACCTGACGAGGCACAGGAGGACGCACCTGGGGGGCGGTCTCCCCGCCTGCCGGTAGTGCGGGAATGAGTTAGATGCGGGTCCACCTGGTTCAGCACGGTTCTCTGAAGGCACAATCACGCGCTTGTGTTCTCTTAGGGTCGAGTTCTCGTGACCCCTTACTACTAGAGAACAGACTGGCACTATCTGTGACGTGGTCCTGGAACTGCGTTTGACTAGAGCAAAGTTTGGTGACATTTGCGAGATCAAATGAGAAATGGTGACTTCTAGCATAGTCAAAAGTTTTTCAAACTAAAAGAGTAAGAAAGATGTAAAAACAAAAAGAAAATATACGGAAACTTAAATTGTTCCACTGCTAAAGAGGTTTTAAGACACGGTCATAAGCAGTTGTGTGTGAACCAGCCTTAACAGCACGCTTAGTCCTGTGGGCGTTCGCAGCCTATCATGAAGTCCCCAAATATGTGAATGTCTGTCAGACCGTCTGTGTTATGTTCCTTGTCGTTCTATGCGTGGCAGCTGGTGGGACCTAGAACCATTGCATGTGACAGCCAGTTGAGCACAAATGTTTTTAATCGTCTCCCCAAATAAAGTGATTTCCCTGCCTAATTTCTATTTTAGATTGTCTGAGGCACGCTTCAATGCAGGCCTCTGATTGGAACCTTGTAGTACCAGTACATATTTGTTACTGTTTAAAGTTTGTAGACCTCTGTATTGCCTCTTTTCGCAATCCTGATATTGACGGGGCTTCTCGGTAGTCATTCAAAGCAGATCAGTGGTCCCCAGAACCGAAAAATTTAGAACCACTTAATTACGAGATCAAGTTTCTAGCGTTGTGCTTGAGGCAAGAGAGATGAACAAGTTTAGAAAGTATAAATTTTCCAATTTTTTGACAGTTCCAGTATATTGGAACGTAAAAACGAAAAATAATATGTTGCATAAAAAGTGTATATATATGAGCACATCTATGTACCGTAGAATACCGGGGGAGCACCCACTGCAGCTTCACTGAAAACTGTGTCTATCTAGACATGAGCGCTTGTCTGGTCAAATTGGGTGCTCAACGTTTAATTTGGAGAATTCCCAACTTTGGAGCACGTTAATAATGGGCGCTTGAACGAAGTGGTGTCTTCCACAGAATTTTACGGTAAATGTGGTGAAAAGAAAGAGAGAAAAAAACAAAAAAAAACAAAAACACCATAAAGGTGATCAAAACATAGGAAATTAGACTTTGAATGTTTGGATAGCGGATAGGTTGGTCTGTCTTTGAAGCATGACGACACTGGTTCGTGCTGTAGATGAGCAACTTTGTGAGCGCAGTGTGATTTCTAACCTGACGTCCTTGGCGTGCATCATATGCTGACACTGTCATTTTGTTTGTGTCTATGCACTCTACGGTAGAGCATATTTTTTACTTTGAGTACGAGCTTGCACACTACATTTTACCTAGTGCCATGCACTGCATGGTTCCAGAGAAACCTGAAAACGCGAAAGGAAAATTCAACATCTCTCGCAGTAAGCAATTGCACTTTGTCCAATGGACCATTTTTCTGGCGTGAAAATGCGTGAGCATGTGCTGAAGCGAGTGCAGGCACTCCCTCGACCAAGGAAGGTAGATTCTTCTGGCTCCGTTGAGCTCGCAGTGACCTACTAGACCTCGAGCTATCAATGACGTTTCAAGCATATATATAATAATTACGTAAAAGTAGCAACAGCCCATATCTTTTCATCCTAAAATGGAAGAACAAATATGTCTGCTTTCCAAATGCACTGCCTAATATAACAAAACCATATATGTAAAAAAATGTATTGCATATTTAAGAGCACACAGAAAGCTTTACATATAAAACATTTTAAATAGACATTGAATTTTGGACTTGTAGCTTTTCTTCTCAAGTTTACAGTGCTGTTTCTTGTATATAAACTCTACAATGAAAGCTGGTTTAGATACCAGCTTTCATTTGATGTGTTTCTTATGCTTTTAGTAATTGTACATCGAAAACCTGTTTGATGCAAACTTGGCCCATAATTGTCAAAGGTGCAAAATTCAAGCATTTTTATTTCATAAAAAAACACTTCTAGAAAATTTTAACTCTTCTAGACAAAGCTTTAAAACAATAAAAAAATTATGATTGTGAAAAAAAAAGAACAAGAATCTAAACATTGCGAGACTCAAAAATGTGTTACTCATTCAAAACTCAAGAAAAAACATTCTGTAGTTTTAATTTGCAGGTTTGTTCTAGTCAAACATTTTCCGCCAACACACATAATTTTTAAGAATTTTCTGAGGACCCATCGTCTTTTCTTGCACGATTTGAGTTGAAATCGTTCTTAATAAGGCCGTACAAGAGCAAAACGAAGTGCTCTTCTGGTAAAATCTGAAATTTGAGCTTGGTATTGCAATCAAGTCAGAACTAGGAAATAATGAAAATGTTTTAAACTAACTCAACAATTTAAGCTGTTTTTGTTCTAGTATGACGGCGGTTACAGCAATAGAAATTTCGTAATTAAACTGTACGTTTAATTACCAACTGGGCGCTACGGGGCGAGATGGGCAAAGAGCACCCATGACGTTGATCTTTGTCAAGCTAGAAGTCCGAAATCCACCCTTCTCCGGATTCCCAATATGAGGGGTTTTCGGTAGGAAGCCGCGTGGGCGTTGCACGAGTGAGTGCGAACATTTCTAGGTTAAAAAGTGAAAGAGGTGGGAGCTGCTTGGATGGATATAGGTTGATAAATGCAGAGCCGTGTATACAGCTCTGGATAAATGTTAATAACTATCCGATTTGTAACGGGCGGTAGCTTGCGCCACCTATACCTACCGTAAAATCCCGTAAGGGCGCCCTCCCCCGAGAGATCGCCCATCCCGTTTTTCTGGCTAAATATCTGTAACATAAAAATTCCGAAACATCGCCCACCCCCCATTTCCGTTGGACGTCAAGCCATGTCCGACGGGAATCGCGCATCAACGGCGCGATCTGCGGTACCGGTGCATCCGAGAAGCGAGTTCATAGCGGGTTCCCGCGTTTTCGTCTGCGATCAGCGCGCATGACATCGGCACCCGTAACACGTGAGTTGTTCCCGCGTGTACAGGGTGTTAAAAAAAAAAGAAAAACAGTCTTTTTACCGCAGAAATAAACTAGGTATCGCTGAACGCTCATTCCCCGCCCAAAGGTAGCACTAGAGGTCACAACCAGATGCCAAAGTTTCAGCCCGATCCGATAACTTGATAAAAAAGTTATGTGATTTTCTGAAAAGTTCAGTGGAAAAAAATACACAAACTCGACTCTGTTACCTCACGGCTTGGTGGTGGCGCGTCGAGCGCACTTCCGGTCTGCGGCTGTGGGCCGCAGACGTGAACGTGTATTCCTGCCTTGTTTTGAAAGGAACCTCACAAAAACCTGCCTTGTCGTCAAAACGCCGCGACTGGGGCAGTACCAAAAGAGTCGAGAAAGGTTTCAAGGTCAGTTTTTATGTGTTCGGCTCGTCCGAGCACGCGTATATGTTCCGTGAAAAGGGGAAAACCAGACGCCGCTGCACCACGATTACTTGGGCGGGAAGCATTTTGGGTTGAATTCACAGATACTTGTGGTCATTAGATTTGTTTTGTTCCAGCATAAACGCCGGAAAACCGTCTAGTTGTGCGGACCACCTACGGACTACGTCCAGTGCGTCTTCAAGTTCGAACGGCCGCCTGATAGTTCGAACTGTCGTCTGCTCTTTTGAACATTTCTGCTTGTCGTCTGCTCTTTTAGACGACACCGGCCTGTAGACCAAATATTGGCCCGGTACTTGCGATAAGAAGTGCACGCCTCAAAAGACTTTAAGTTTGAAGGTTGGTAAGCAGGCTCGATGTAAACAGTTATACAAGGAGGTGTTGGTCACTTTTACCAGTGGCCATCGCCGACTTGTTATGCCCAATTCACTTGGTCCGATTCTGCTTGCGATTTTCAGTATCGACGTCGACCATCACAGCTACGGTTCACGCTTTTGCAACCCGAGTAACGTTGCGGCTGAAAATTGCGAGTGAAATATCATCATGCGAATCAGGCTTTAGCGCACATTCTGCGGCGACCTCGCGGAATGAATCGCCGCATGTCCCAATGACTCGAAGTGTTGCGGTGTAACGAGCCTCAGTAATTTCGCTGAGGCCGCTCAAGTAGTCAGACATTGTTCAGCAAGACGTAAACTCAACAATTCGAACGCGAAAAAGGGCAAGGGGACTCACACCGACGCCGACAACATCGCATTTCAATGGTTTGCTTATGGGCGACGGCGAGATTCTTGCCCACACTCCATCGCGCATACGACGCATACGCGGCGCCGGGGGCGTCCGCTAGGGGCGCACCAGAGACCGAAAACGGCCAAAAATTGGCTCCATTTTCCCATTGAAATTTTCAGAAAATCACTTTTGAACTTTTGAGTAAGGTATTAGATCGGGCTGAAACTTTGGCATCTGGTAGGGAGGCTCAAGTGATTGTGGGTGCAACTCAACGTTGGTGCAACTGCTAGATCGGGGATCATGAAACATGGACGCCATTTAATTGCTAAATTTTGCTGGGAGTCTTTGGGGCAAAGGGTCGTTTTATTTCCTAACTCAGGTCATAAGAGCCCATTAAGGTGCTTGAATAATTTACACAAGGTATAAACGATTACTTTTCCAAAGCCACCAGTTGTGCTGCGATAGGTTAAGTATTTTTTAACGCGAGAAATGGTAAATTCCGCCATCTTGGACGTTGCTGCTTGTCTGCCAACCCTGCTTAGAGAGGGAAGCGAAAGAGGCTGCGTCGAGGTGTTCGTTGCTTGCAATGGGAGGCGAGAGGAGGGAAGGCGCATGGAGCAACAGAGTTGGAACAGAGCGGGCGTCTGCTCTCGTGCAAGCAACATTGGCGCATATCCTTTCCGGAATCCTCTCCCTCAGGCGCCGCCATTAAATTGCAAACGCTCTCCACGTTTTGAGTTGCGCCCACTCCTAGCATCTGGCTGTGACCTCTATAGCGCTACCTTTGGGCGGAGAGTGAGCGTTCAGCGATGCCTAGTTTATTTTTGCGGGAAAAAGAGCCCTGTAAAAGATATTTTTGTTTTGTGACACCCTGTATATTGTCACGGGTGGTGACCAAACAAAAACAGGAAATAAACAGAAAGAAATAAACGTTTAATGTGGCGAACTTGTGCCAAAAAAATAAACGAGTACAAAAGATAATAACAGAGCGTCGCGGGCGTCGAAGTCGGCGTAGCAACAGAGTCGAACGCTGGTGCGAAAACTGACTGCGGCTCGCCACGCGGAGCCCCTTATGTACATGCGTGATCTTCGGGAATAATCGGCGTAGAAACTTCGACGCGTAGAACATTCGGGCCTGGAACGAGCAACATGATTCTCGAATTCTCCAGAACACGAAGTTACAGGAATAAACAAAAGACACGTCGCTCCCAGGATTCGAACCCTAGCTTTTTGCGTGGGAGCCAGGCGCGATAACCATTAGGCCACGAGCGCGCTGCCTACTTGGCCAGCGCGCGCGGCATTACTCCCCCCTTTAAAAAGTGCATCGCCCCGATGCAGCACAAAACAAAGCAAACAAAAAAGACCGATAGACTAAAGAGTCATTTGGAATACG